TGTGTGTACATATACGTATATGTGTGTGTGTACATATACGTATATGTATATGTGTGTGTGTGTGTGTGTGTGTGTGTATATGTGTATGTATGTGTGTATATATGAATAATGGATTTGAGCATTACAGAGCACAGCGATGTTGTACTGAATTACTAAGTTAATAATTTTGTGTGTGTGTGTGTGCGCGCACAGGGAGTGCATTCACAGTGAAGGTAACGGGTGAGGGCAGGATGAAGGAGAGTATCACCAGGAAGAGGAGAGCCGCATCGGTCGCCAACGTCGGAAGCCAGTGTGACCTCAGCCTCAAGATCCCAGGTAATTCTGATTACTCACAATGCGTAGGCGGAGTAGCAAAAAAACTGATTTGGACACAATTAAAAAATCTCCATTTCACAGCATCGCCAAAATTATGCAGGAAACCGCAGTTCTCAGCTGAGTCCACTTCCGGGTTCTGCTGCTACAGTGTTTCTTGGTCTGGTATGACCACTAGCTTATGGTTTAGCTAGTGTCGGCAAACATTTCGAGAGATATTTCTTTGTAACTGACTTGTCCAGTTCTTCTACAATGTTCCATTGTCATATTAAAAGTACAAGGTACATCGTCTCACTGCATGTGTGTTTTCAATGACCCAAACTTCTGACCGGCTGTCTTTCCAGAGATTAGCATAGCGGACATGACAGCCCAGGTGACGAGCCCGTCTGGCCAGGTTCACAAGGCCGACATCATGGAGGGAGAGAACAACACCTACTGCATTCGCTTCGTCCCCACCGAGACCGGTGTGCACACCGTGTGTGTGAAATACAACGGCGTACACGTGCCTGGCAGCCCATTCCAGTTTACCGTCGGCCCCCTGGGAGAGGGCGGGGCTCACAAGGTCCGTGCCGGAGGGCCGGGCCTGGAGAGAGCAGAAGCCGGAGTGCCAGGTTGGTGTTGGGGCTGGATTAGTAGTCTGTGTGTGTTCTTCTACACAGCTTACCTCACTCATGTTTTGCCCATGTGTTGTGTGTAGCTGAGTTCAGCATCTGGACAAGGGAGGCCGGGGCCGGAGGTCTCAGTATTGCTGTGGAGGGGCCGAGCAAGGCTGAGATTGCATTTGAGGACCGCAAGGACGGGTCCAGTGGCGTGTCCTACATCGTGCAGGAGCCCGGTGAGATAAGAGACGGGGGGGGAGCGTTATGCATGGATGAGAATTAAGTGTGGAAAAAAAAGAACACATCTAGTAAATTTCTCTTCTTCAGTGCAGGTTTTCACATTCTCTTTTACTCTCTTTTTTTTCTATAAATGTTTGTTTTATGTGTGCTGAGGAGGACTGCCACTGTTTTGGTATTGGTGTGACTATTTTAGTTTCTGACTTGAAGCCCGTTCTCCTGTAGGAGACTACGAGGTGTCGATCCGCTTCAACGATGAGCACATCCCCGACAGCCCCTTCCTGGTCCCCGTGGCCTCGCCATCCGATGACGCCCGTCGCCTCACTGTTGCCAGTCTTCAGGTGAGGCTCTGAGACATACACACATCCGTGTGCACACAAGCCAGGCCACAGCACACCACCTACAATGCAGCAGCAGCAATAGATGTATTTTCTGCGTTCATAGTGTGGAGTTGGTAACACGTTTACAGGTTGTAAGAGTTTCAAGTTAAGTATAAAACAGAGAAGTGGATGTTGTAGCAGGCCAAGGTGGTTGTGGTTGCGTAAGAGCTGCTGCTGCATTGTTAGGCAGTGCAAGGGCTTCTGGGACACGAGAGGACTGTGTGTGTTTCTCGTGCCTCATTCTAAAGGCTGCCAACAGCCTCCCACCTCTAAAAGTGATACGGGGCGCTAAAGGGTTAAAGAGGTCTGACATGGGCTATTTTCCTCTCTGTCTCTCTCCTCACTTACACAGACACATAGAATACTGTGGAAACACTCTTCTGACTATCTCATCAAAATGTGACTTTCTCGTGTTAATTTACCATAAGTATTTCTATATTTATCTTGCATGAATTTTCATCTATTTCTTTCTCCCCCTGTTGGAAATGGGCTTCCCTACAACGCTGACTTTCACACATTAGCATGTATCTTCACCTGCATGCAGACCCCCCCCCCCCCCCCCCCCCCCCCCCCCCATATACAATATACACATACGCTTACAAACATGCTCACACATAAACTGTTCGAACTGGCTCCTTCTCCCAAAAGGAAAGTCACTTTTTCTCTCTCTGTTCTTTCTTTTTGCTCTGTCTGCCTTTTCAATGTACAGCCCTCCTCTTTAGCCTTGTTAGCAACCTCCAGGTAAGGTAAATAGTAGCACATGTAGTCTGAATATGATACTGTGGTGATCACGATGCTTTTAAGTGGACCGTATGAAGTAACTTAAGTGTTCAGCAGGAGGGAGGGGGGGAATAGTCATTTGGCTGGTGTTAAATAATGGTGATGCAGTGTTGAGTGTGTGAGTATGTGTTGTCGAGCAGGAGTCGGGTTTGAAGGTGAACCAGCCGGCGTCGTTTGCCGTCAGCCTGAACGGAGCGAAGGGGGTGATCGACGCCAAGGTCCACAGCCCATCTGGGGCTCTGGAGGAGTGCTGCGTTACTGAGATAGACCAAGGTAACCATGGGGATGGTGTCCAGAGTGATCGAAACACCCTCAGAGTGTGCACACTGAGGTGATCTTTGATGTGTTGCTGGACATGAGAACCCATTTTCATGTGCCTTGTCTCTCCGCTCCTCTCTGTTTGTCAAGATAAGTATGCAGTTAGGTTCATCCCCAGAGAGAACGGCCTCTATCTGATTGACGTGAAGTTCAATGGAAGTCACATCCCTGGTAGTCCATTTAAGATCCGAGTTGGAGAAACAGGCCAGGCTGGAGACCCTGGGATGGTGTCGGCCTACGGGGCAGGACTGGAGGGAGGCACCACAGGTAACGCACTACCCCTTTCAGAACGGTCTTGTCCCCAGTTCCTACTAAACCTTACATTTGTCCCCATCCTCTCCTCAATCCTCCTCTTGTTTGCCCCCAGGAACTGCATGTGAATTTGTGGTGAACACAAGCAAAGCGGGTCCTGGCGCTTTAGCTGTGACCATCGACGGGCCCTCCAAGGTGAAGATGGACTGTGTGGAGTGCCCCGAGGGCTATAGGGTCACATACACCCCAATGGCTCCTGGCAACTATCTGATTTCCATCAAATATGGCGGTCCCTACCACATCGTCGGAAGCCCCTTCAAAGCCAAGATCACTGGTGAGAAAAGTCTTTATTTCTTTAGGCAAACAAGATAAAAACTGAATGTAAATCCCTCTGAGATCAACTTACACCATCGCCTCCATCTCCCAGGTTCCAAGCTAGTGTCCAGCCACAGTATGCACGAGACCTCTTCTGTCATGGTCGACCCTGTGACCCGGGCCATCAGCTGTTCTCAGCAGGCAACTCCCACCAAGTCAGATGCCAGCAAGGTCATGGCCAAGGGCCAGGGCCTGACCAAGGCCTTCGTTGGTCAGAAGAACAGCTTCAGTCTCGACTGCAGCAAAGCAGGTGTGTGTGTGTGATTGTGACGTTAAGAAGTGCGTTTTGTTCTGTGCTTTTTTTACCAAGACATATTTCTGGCCAATTGAGGGAGTTCCAGGTTGCCCCCAAAAAAATGTATCATCACTTATTAATTCACTACAGAAGTGAGCCCGATGTGAGTAAAAGTCACAAGAGTGACCATTCTGATCATAGCTTTCACTTCCTTCATGGTTATCTCCTCAGCTTTAGCTGACCACTATAGAATAGTTCTTCTCAAATGGGGGTCTGTGACCAAATGTATATAAATTGACTCAAAAAAGGTTGAGAACCACTGAATTAGAGCTCAGAATATGTTTGATTTTAATGCATATAAGTTGGGAAGTAACTTTTTCTGGAAGAAGTAAAAATGTCATTCACTTTTCCCACAGACAATGTGATGTGACTCCCAGGTGAAGCACGTCTATGGCTTGAATCAACATGAAAGTCATCAGTCCAAAATATCAATAACTGTTAAAAAGTCGAAGGTTCAAGCCTTTGAACATTTCAGTTACCTATGTCTCCCAAAATGCATTATGGGTAGAAACGTCCAAGATTCAAATTCTATCACGCTCGTCGCCTAAATTTTAGTGGATCATAATAATAGCCATATTGGGTATAGAATTGATCTGCAGATTCTCCGGTTCAAAATGAGATCAAACATTTCTGTAGATGTCAGTTTTTGAGCCACAACAAAGGCTGCTACAAACGAGGCAAGGCTTTTTTTTTTTTTAGCCTAGCTGATTGCTGGAAATGTCTTTTGGTACTGAAGCAGTTGTTAATCTGACATACCGGCCAGTTCAGAGGAGTGATTAGTCAGCAGTCAATGACGGTGTAAACAGTCAATGGAATAGTGAATCACCTCAACCACAAGAGGTCCTAGAGCATGCAGTCATAAACGAGCACAAAAATATGAGGCTGGTGGGTCTAGTAGAATGCGAGATGAGCTGTGGACAGATGGACGGATACACACACACGTGACCGGCGACCGCACGCATGATCTCCCAACAGGCCTCTGCCTGGCGGGGATAATAGTTGAAACTGGCGGCCATATTAATATGCTCTGTGTCCATCCACAGGTCGTAACATGCTCCTGGTCGGTGTGGATGGTCCCAAGGTTCCCTGTGAGGAGATCCTAGTGAAACATTTGGGCAACCGCTTGTACAACGTCAGCTACCAGCTGAAAGAGAAGGGAGAGTACATCCTGGTGGTCAAGTGGGGAGAGGAGCACATCCCTGGTAGCCCCTACCATATTACTGTCTAAACCCAGCTCCACCATCACAAACCTAAACCACTGTTTAATTAATGCAACTGAAATTCTATCTAGAGTCTAACCGATCCTTGTTTACAACTGCAAGTCCCTCCTGTGTTACAAATTAGGATTTCTGGCAGTTATTTGTGTCTTATAACTATTTAACCAAGTAGAAAACAAAGTGTCGCAACAGTGTTCACCCTCAGCCAGATTTCTGTGTTTTACCCTCAAGTTAATATTTGAGTCCAGAATCTCCCAAAGATGAATGCATGGACACATAATGCTCGCTTTCTGGTCAATCGCTCCATTCCTTGTTTTATTCTTCTGCCTAATCGCACCCTTCAGTAAATTTAGGGAGAAAAAATATGCACCTTTTTTTTACATTTTCAGTCATGGGCATGAGTGGCCATTAGCAGATGTGTCTGAACTAGTGTACAGTGATAGGATGGCGTAGCGTAGCCCAGCATTGGATGGAAGGTTACTGTTTACACTGGAGGAGCTTCTCTTACATACATGAACGATGCAGTCAGTTTTATATGAACAATCACACGACTTGAACCGAAGAGTGTCCCAAGTAATGTGCCTTCCTTACCCACGTAAAATGACACACTTTGACGTAAGGTTTTTAATTATCCGTATAAAAGTGAGATCAACTGTTGCTTATAACTGCGAGTGCTCAGCACTGGTTCAGCCCGCTTCAGCATGTGGTTTTCATGACTCTTTATCCAACCCGGATGTTTGACCTGCTGCTAGTGTGATCCAGTTTTATGCACCTCTGTTCCTTAAAGCCGTGATATGGATTAGAATAGGGAAGTAATAAAGGATTCGAGATGTGAGCAGGAGAAGACACATTTCACAGTAGCTTTGTCACACGTGCTCTCTCAACACCGCTGCTGTTTTAATGGGACACAACATGTGATCTGCATGTTCTTTAGGTTGTAAAACTCTTTTGCCACAGAAAGAGTCCGATTGAGAATAACATCAAAGGTGACGTGTGATGCGCTGGTGATGGTTCACCTTTGAGTATGGAGCTTTCTCATATACATTCAAATGTTTTTAAAAGGGAAGTTTCTAACGTTGTGCTGGACAGAAGGGCTGAAGATAATGTGGGTTGTCATGTCCTGAAAAAAAATCCTGATCGACCATAAAAGAAAAGAGAACAGCCGTTTCTTTGTTTTCTGCTCAGTGTTTGTATCTCGCCCCCGTCAGCCGCCACTCACCCCCCTCCCTTTGTCCTTCCAGCTCGCTTTGTGCATAGTCTATCTTTCAGAACAAAAAAATGAATCTTGTCCTAAATAATAAAAGGCTTTAAAGTGTTTGTAAGACAGTATTTTCATACACAATAAAGTTGTCCAAGTGTTTTTCTGTCAATCTAATGGCTGTTTGTTTTGTGTCCTTAAACTTTGTCCGGTTCACATGGAATGAAGATTCTAAATCATGACAAATACTAAACTGGTGAAACATGAATTCAATCCCATGTGTTTTTATCTAAATGTGAAGGTTATTCCTCTCATCAGTAACTTTGACGGAGCAGAGTGTTCAGCTCGGCAGTGCTGTTAAGCTGCAATCACAGAGGTCTCCAGTGAGTGGAACATGTGTAGATCACAGTGAACCACATTACTGGAGTCTGCAGCCAACGCCCTTCCTGGAAAAGTCCAACTCCTTATTAGGCCTGACTCCCGTTCCTCCTCCAGAGGGCGCTGCAGCAGAGGGAACCTCAACACTTGATGACGTCGTTTATGCAGAGCTTTGAACAACAGAAGCCTTTTGTTTAAATTACATCATTTAGACCAACAGTCTAAAAGCCTCAGGACGAAACTTTTCAGATTGTTTTTCAACGGATGAGTAGTGATTAGTCTCATTATTGATCCAGGGTTTTTCACAAGAGTAATATTAATAAATGTCTGTAAATTACTCTTAGTCCCACACAGCATGTTGAGTGTTCCACATCAATCCTAAAATGTGAAACATTACCTATTTTTCTGTTGTGTCAGCATAACAAAATCCACAGGATTCAGAAGAAATGTTTCTTTGGAAGTTGGTTTGTTGGATCAATTATATTAATAATTTTGTAATGTACATTGCTACTGTAGGTGGTGGCAAAATATTTGTAATTAAAGAATTAATTTCCAAATAGTATTTTCAAAGTGAGTATTCCAGTAGAGCCCACCATGAGGATGGTGGGGTTATGAAATGTAAGTCTGATTAGAGATGATGGGTCCTTTGGCACGATGGTTATTTATTTATCATCAATCTGCTGTTTAGTTCAGTGGCTGATAAAGACTTAATGGTGTTGTAATTGCACTGGGCTCAAGAGGCCACTATACGGGCATAGCCCCACGCTCGAGTGGGAAAACGATACCCATTCCCAAAGCCTTTTGCAATTAGGCGGAAGCCACAAATTTGATGTCAAGTGGGGCTGATTGCCTGGTGCCCCACTGCAATTTGATGGGCAATCTGCCTGTTATCATTTGCTCGTAGTTGGCAGAAGTTATGAAAGCAACTGTGGTCACAATGAAAGATGAGGTTTATCTTCACAATTTGAAAGTTTGTAAAGATAATTTCTGGTTGCTTTTTGCCTTTATTCTATAGTGCAGCTGTAGAAACAGGAAAGGGGAAGAGAGTTGTGATGAAATGCAGCAAAGGGCCACGGGTTGAGATTAAACACCTCGGTGGACCCCAGCCTCAGTCTAAAAATAATCTGATTTAACATGGAGTTGTTCTCCAGGAAAAAATGTCTAACTATGTCAGAGAAGAGGATTCTTTGCTTCCTTTGTGTCTTATCTTTAAAGGATGATACCTGGTCAAGAACAGGTTATCAGGATCTCAAGCATCTTTCTGAGAGGATTAGCAAACATGAGAGCAGACAATGCAGTGACATTGGACACACTGCAGAGCCAACAAAGAGGAGAAAAGGCAGAAAGTCAAAAAATACCTTTTTCTTTTTTTTCCAAAAGAGAAGGAAGTGTAGGTAGTCATTTTTCAATAATGGTCGAATTTGGCTGTTTATCTATGAATCTACGTACATTCCTCTCCATCATCATTGTAGGTGACTTTTTATTTTATTTTACAAACCTCAGAGAGAGGAGAGAAAAAGACAGATGTGAACACTGCACATATTCACTACACAGCATGAACTGCTACAACTTTAATACATGCAACTGTTTTTCCAAATCTAGTCAGTATATGCTTTATGCAGTTGTGAAGTATTATGTTTATACTCAACACTCATACCAATTACTTACAGCTAGGCTACTATAACTTTTAATCACAAATCATAATTAATCTGGAGAGTAAACAGAAGTTTTTAGGTCCTATGCATTTACATTCTTCAATGATTAAATGGGTGCCAGATTGCATGAAAAAGCATCCAAATAGAGCTTGTTCCCTTGTGTTGTCCTGGGGTCATTTTTGACCCCAGGATAGCACAAAATGTTCTAAATAAATGAGACATCATATTTTTGGTTTAATATTGAATGACTTTTCCTAATTTAATGGGGACAACTGGGTAAACACAAACTCAACATGTTGATATGTAAAGTTTTATGTAAAGCCATTAAAACACCCAAAGAATATGTCTTTCCAATTTTAGGTCAATCAGTGAGATTTTATGGTGATCTGCATATTTCTCCATAGTCCCGTAACAGGGATTCTGGATGTATACGGGTTTGGGTGTCGGGGGGGTTGTTTTATTTAAAGGGCTATTTAGGTAGTCAACAAAAAACTAAGTACCTGACACATAAACTTGGGTAGCAATTTTAATTACAATAATGCTCTGCAGGTTCAAATTGCTGGGGTCAAAAATGACCCCAGGATAACAGGTGTTAGTAAATTTGAAGGTAACAGGAGGGTTAAATATTGCAGAAATGAATGTTGACATGTTTTATATGTCAGGTAATGACTTGGAATAAAGTTGACTAAGGAGTTGAAACACAGAGGTGGGTGATAATTTATACTGTATGCTTTATAAACAGTCAAACCTGACGGGGTCATTTTTGACCCCAGAGGACAACAGGTGTGATTATGTGCTGCCATTAGAAAAATTCAAATGATTCAAGAACAGCATCCTCACTAAACTTTGATATGTACCTCTCTGTGATCAGTCAAATAGTAAAAAATAATATAAAGTCAAAATAATTCATTGTTTCATTGTATTTTCACTCAAAAACAGGGTATACTTTTATGTAAACAAGGTCTATTGGCCCTAAATTCCAAAATGAAGGGAACAATTTGTGGTAATGTGTTGGACTGAAGTAAGACTAAATGTGTAAAACAGAATTGATTGACAATTTATACTGTATGCTATAAAAACAGTCAAACCAGGTGGGGTCATTTTTGACCCCAGAGGACAACAGGTGTATGGCAGTCGGGAGGACAACACAAGGGTTTTAAAGAATTCTTAGAAGACTCCCTCCTATCAGAGGTCCCAGTCTCAGTCCCCAACGTCCTCAGATCCTGGAGACGCTCAGGAGACGCTCTACATGCTGTGTCACTGGAAGAGCACTGTAGAGGGAAAATCACGTTTAGGGCCACCACAAAGGGCCATCCAAGAGAGTAGTGCTTTTTTAATATGGCGGACTTTATATTGGTCCCATGTGTGGTATTTATTATATTAACTTTACAAAAGAAGTGCTGCCCTGCAGGCCTCTCACTTGAATCAGTAGGAACAGCATACCATACTATTCACATTAACTATGACTATGCTCACTTCAAGCGCCCCACTGAAACCATGGCAGAGTGACACTGAGCCAGCATGAACATCATCACGAGGCTGAAACAGAGGCAGCTAAACGGAACTCAGCCATCGGTCCTCTGCCAGCGGACAGCCTGTGATGTAGACCCGTGTGAGCAGCTCGTAGTATCCGTAGGTGTGCCGAGTTACGTCGTCCGGATATGGGCAGGAGTTCCTCCCTCTGCTGCTCCAGCCTGCTAAGCTTCACACACACACACACGCACACACACACTCTCAACCCACAACTCGTGTATTTTTCACAGGTAAGTGACCTTATCTCATTTCAGATCTATCGTTTCCTCTTATTGGCATTGCTTGCGTTTCTTGCTCGCGCGATAGATGTGTGTGTATATATATATATTTTTAAAAACCGCGAAGTTGTATCTCTGCTCTTTGAACTCGGCAGCATATATAACGTTAGCAGTCAAAGTCTTGTGATAGAAATGGAGTTTAGCGTCGAAATAATTGCTTTGGCTTTCAAAAGGTTCAAACTAAACTATGTAAAGTAGTTTGCGCTCAGAACGTTTTTCTGTGACGTTTTCCAGCGGGACGACGGGCTGCATACTTTACGAGGCCCCGCCCTGTTCTCCCTCTACAGGCTGTCTGTCTGTTCGGTTGACTGTTTGTCCGTCTGATCTATCTATCTATCTATCTATCTATCTATCTGTTCATCCATCCGCAGATGTCTTTGAGTGAGAAAAGTGATGAGGAGATCAGCAAGCTGCTCGCTGAGTATGGCATCAAACATGGACCCATAGTCGGTAAGAAAAGTGCAAACATGAATGACTTTATGAAGGAAGTCCTTCCTGAGATCCTAACTGCTCAGCTGGAGGTGAAGCATGCAGGCTTTTAGAAATACAACCGAGTTTAGAAATCATTCACTAAAATGACAGGCAATAATGTATTTATACAATAATACTATGTTATTACACTATAATTTTGATGATGTTGTGTTACATTGACCCTATAAACTGAAGAACACACACATATATATACACACACATATATATATATATATTATATATATATGTGTGTATATGTCTGTCAGGTGAGTTTTTGTGTGATGATCAGCATAATGCTAACCCTATCCTGGGTAAAGTGCACAGTAGGTTCTCTGCCTCTCATCTCCATCACCTTCTCTGTCTTTTTGTCTTTGGGCTTCCCTTTTGGTCCAATGTTTTCTCAATATTCTGAGTAAACAAATAAGATATATAATGAGATGAAATACAAACAAACCCCTGAGCCAGTTTCATCATACATAGATTCATTCAAACTGTTTTTCATTTTAACGCTTCACATGATGAAACTCCTTAAATTTATTCTCCACATTTTTCCAACACCTAGACATTGCAGACAAGTCATGTTTTGTATATTTGTGTCTGCTGTGTTAAGGATATTGAAGCCCTGTTAATGTGTTTGTGTGAACATAGACTCCACTCGAAAGCTGTATGAGAGGAAGCTTGAAGTGGCCATGGAGAACGCTCCGGTGGAACCCTCGTCTGATAAGACCTACTACAGGGAGGAAGGTAGGGGGCTCCTCAGTCTACTTTGTGGGACGTGGTTTGTTCATGTGCGGGTCTATAGATGTAGTACCACCACGCAGCGAGCGGCGCCACAATCACTTCTGAAGGGTGTGTGTGTTTTATGGGCTGTTAACAAAAAAAAGACATTTATGTCGGCCCACTGGGAAAGTGCTGGTCTGGTCTGCTTGATGGCCAGTCCAGTCCTGAGACTAGAGAACCAACAGTTGAAGCAGTTATTAGAACGGAGTCTTTACATGAAGTAAGCCTAGAAACGTACAAATAGACAGCACCGCAGCAGAGCCAGGTTTAGGCCTCGGCAAAAACAAAAGCTATTTCGACACTTCATTCATGTCCAAGTCATCAGTCAGGTCTTTAAGGATGTGCAGGAAAAGCAGGTTGTTAATCTGTTTCTCTGTCTTTGTAGATCAGATGCAGGTGTTCAGAAGATGTTCTACCTCATTATAGACATTATGACTGTAATACCTGGCCTAGATGCTTATTAACGCTTTATTACTGTCACACCTGCAAGTGTGTGCAAAATGTTTTGTTGTCCCCCCTATTCTAGCACTGGTGCCACCAACCCATAATCGTCAAATATTCAGCCCTATCTTCTCTCCATATCTGTTATTGATAATTGATTAACATTGTCTCTCCCGCCGGCTGCACAGAGGGAGGCACCACTGATGAGTTCTATTCATTACCAAAAGTTCATTTAGTAAAACAAATACAAACTCATTTCATTGGATGAATCACCTCACTTGAATTGAGAATTTTGTTTTTTGTTTGAATTGTTTTATTTTATTTCAGGGTGATGATGTCATGAACTATGACTGGAAGCTTCATTTGAAAGCTTTAATAGAAGTGTTGCATGTCAAAAGAGAAGAGATCTGGTACAACCCTAATGTGCAGCCATGTACACAAATGAATGTGGTATTTGAGGATGCCTGAACTGGTCCTGACTGCTGAAGTAAAAGTAATACCCCCCCCCCAATACATAAATGTTTTTGAATGTCTCCCCCTGCCTGCTCTAACTATTCTAAGTCAGTTATAATTACAGGCCAGTATATAAATATGAACACAAACCACAACAGCGGGAGGTCTCCTCGTCAAACCTGACATCTAGTGTTCACGTTTCATTTCTAAATGTTTATGTCAACAAGGTACAAAATGTGCTAATGTGTGTTTTTTTTCTTTACAGCGGAGGAAATAACCTACATCACATACAGTCCGGTGAGTCCTGGTTGTGTTTCCTGTGATTCTGTGTTTGTGCCAAATTCCTGTGACTGTTAATAATCTCACAAACTGTCCTGCTTTCATTCCCACAGGTTAGACAAGAGTCAGACCTGTGAGTTCACTTTCAACACACACACACACAAACTCTTCAAACTATTTGATCCAAACATTTCCCACAGGTTTTTTAATATTTCCTCACATACAGCTTTTCTCTTGCTGGATGAATACATGCCTGTTCCAAAATCTCTTTTTTTCAAGTTTAGTGGCAAAATTTACTCTCTACTACTTTCAAACACGAGTTCAAAATAGCATCAGATCTTATTCAGAGACGCTTGACACAAATCTGAACTGTTAACTGTGTCTGGGCTTATATAGACCTGTACTCTTAGTAAGTACCACACCAAAACGAAATCAAAAACGCAAAGATGCAAAATGTTGTGCCGATGGCGGTAATATACAACAGGCTGAGTAAATATATAAAGGGTACGGTACCAGACGTCCTGGTTTGTCCAGGATTGTCCTGACAGAACATCTTCAAAACACTCAAATGTCCAGGTCTTCACCACCATTACAATTGTTTTCAGTGCTTACAAGGAATTTGATTGTGTTCTGTCCGACTCATTATTACCAATATCAGATCATAAACAACTACAAAGGTTCACTCGTTAGAGTGCAGAGCTCATCCAGGTGTGTCTGCAACGACCGCTGCTGTATCGTGTGATTGAATACAACATGTCCGTGAAGCGTCGTCAGGCAGACTTCATTCAAACTCAAAAACAAGCGGTGATGTGGTCGAAGTTGTCGTATAATACACTTCATACAATAGTTCCAAACACAAAGTCACCAAGCTGTCTGCTCGCTTAGCAGCGGCTGAGGGGCGAGAGGTACTCAGCCGTGTGCGGGCAGGTCCGTTAGCTGTTCACTCTTAACTCACTCCAAAACAATAACCGTGTGCAAACTCTCTTTACCAGTGTTATTATACAGCTTTCAGATCGTAGCAACGCTTGTGTGCTACGTGCTGATAGAATTGTCCTCCATCCTGATGAAAACACCGATGGTGCCTGCATGAATGTGCGGAACACTTATGGGTCTCGGTTTGGGGGCTTGAAAAATCCGGTCACCCTACACAAGAGTCCACAGCCATGTTAGCATGTAATTATGTCAACATCAGGATGCTAACATGCTAATGTTAACATGGGTTAGCATGATGTTGACTCACCATCTTAGTTACAGAGACGTTATATAATATGATACCTTAGTATTGTACAGGGCTTGAGTAAATGTACTTAGCTACTTGCCAACACTGGGGACATACTGCCAGTTGTACTGTACTGCAGTGTTGGTTACTTTATAAGTGTTTTAAAAATAGAGCTAGAATGAAATTGAAGTGTAAAGTTTTCCTCCTTTCAGGCTGAAACGAAGAGGCAACATTGAGCCAGATGAGGACGAGGAATCGGACCAAGAAACAGAGTGAGTGTGCTGTATTAACTAGTGGTGTGTTAGAGCAAAATAGTTCATCACCTGGAGTAAATGTCCTCTCCCCTCCTGTGCTTCAGGGCCCCTGTCCAGATCGCCAACAGAACAGCCAATCACAGCGCAGTACGATCCAGGGAACTGGACAGACAATCCGGAGGCAGCGTGTGGAAGGTGATCCGGCTGCTGCTGCTGTTAGCTGTGTTAGCAGCTGCCCTCTACTACGCCTACTGCCGTGTGCTGAAGAACGAAGAGGATCCCTTTAACATTCAATGATCTGATTGGTTGTGAGGATGTCCGGGTTTCTTCTCCATCAGCAGAGAGAACACACAGTTTGACCACATTCCATCAACTTGTAAATGCTCTCTATTTCTTAGTGTCACCATGTCAGGGAAGTGAACCAAAGCCTGATACATCATGTTCCTCTGTGTCGTCAGTGTTGCACCAATTATGTTGGGGGGGGGCAGCCGGCCCTGTCTATTGGACCAATGGGGAATTTTAGATTTAATTAATTTGCTTTAAATAATGTCCATTCATCTTGTGTAGTTCAGGTTTTGCGTCTCTGAATGTTTAGCTGTTATGAGATTCTTTCTTTGCATAGTTTGTCTTTCAAAGGCCGTGCATTGTTCGCTTCAGTTTTAGCATTCGAAGTTGCAGCAAGATGCACTTCCAAGAACCGCACAGTATCTGACAAATAAACAAAGCAGCCAAACTATCTAGAGCTTCTTTGTTGTCCAAAAGCTGTTCAAAACATGTCAGTGAGCCACACCTTTGCACGGGGTGACATGTTCATCTGTTACCATAAACACACAAAACGTCGTTTTTTACTAGAGCACCGAATGTTACAGCTGAAAGAAGTCCCTCATAAATGCATTATTTCCTCCTGTTTAAGTATAAATGGTATACATTTTTGAGCCAGTAAAGATTTCCATCTCCAGTAGGAACTATGGGCTTGTTGAGAGTTTTGGGTTATTTCATGGGGTTTATTGGCAATAAGAGAAATAAAGAATACTGCTCTCTCCTTTCATTTCTTTGCTTTCTTGCATGCAGTGTTTTCCTTCTCTGTGGAGTTTCTGTATTTGATTTGTTTGATGCAGCTGTTCTGTCACATAGTGAGTTGGTCTTATTTGTTAGAAATACATGTTGTCATGTAGCACAACAGACTGAGGACGTCTTTATTTCCAAGCTGTGCTCGCCACGTCCAGTCAAAAACCAAAGGCTGTCTAAATGTGGGAATAAAAACAAATTAAATAAATAGTTTGAAATGTATGTAAAACATCAAGATGAATTCCAAAAGGATGCAAAAATGTTACTAAGGTGGAAGTAAGAGTATTAACAGAATAGTAGACGTGTTTCCAGACATACAACACAGTCAAATATTAAGTTATGAATTCATTTATTTGGTTACAAAACTTGAGCTCAGTGGAGTGCTGCAGGGATGATGTATTTTTGTTGGCCAACCCAGAAGTTGAGGTTGCACATCACATTCTTCCACTGGATTATTACAGAATATAAACTGTGAGGCAGCAAACATTTCAGATACTTTAGAAGATAATCTTCAACACTTAAATGATTTTCGAAGAATCAGCAGTAAAAAGCTAACACTGACATAACTTCACATCACCCCCACTAAGTATCCAACACGTGCTCACCTCTTGTACAAAAGCCTTCCACTAAAGGTGAAGTAGTGAGTACATCAGTTTCAAAGTTTGGCGTGAAGACAGAAAAAAATCAAGGCCTTGAAAGTTGTTGAAAATAGACATAAATAGACATCTGTCATTGAAAGTGCTTGAATTTATACAATTTGTGCAAGAATAGAAATTGTTTTGAGATTATATTTTGGGCTATCTCCCTCCATAACATCTCTTTCAGTCTAGTGGAGAGAAAACATCCAAAATACACATTCAGCTGTTTATTTTACTATTTTGTCTTTTTGCGTCTGTAGATTTCTCCTAAATTCACCAGAAGTTATCATTAGATAATGCCTCATTTGCATATTTAAGCATAACATTTTTCGAAAACTTTTAACACAAAAATAATGGTCTTAATGTGAGTTATCAAATGGGGAAGTTTAATTTTCCTTTTTGTACTCTGTTCTCCTAGTTAAGCAGCCTCCGATCTGCTGTCTGCATGTGTGTCTTCTGCCTGGAGAAAGTGTGACAGTCACGTGCATGCATGAATAAGAATCAGCTTTAATGAATCAGGATCAGAGTGATTGAAGTCAAATGATGTTAAACAGCAGCATTTTCAATATTCTCAGTGTTGTAACAGTAATAAATCTTGATCTGTCTCAAACTGCTATGATGGGTCCTTACTTTAGAGGGAATTTGATATTTAAGGTGTAGGAACGTTGTCTATAGATTCATTGAGCCACCTGTTAGCAACCAACTCTTTAAACACAAGTAAAAGCTTTCAAATTAATCTAACCAACAATCCTTTCAATAAACCCATTGACTTTGAGACGAGGGAACCAGAGTTACTAAAATACTAACTCATCTCCAGGTTTCAGAAGCCATTCCTGCAGCGCTCTATTCCACCAATCTAACCGTTGAACAAAAACAATATAAAGCACTGTTATATTTACAAGATAGAAGCTTAAAACAGTTTGGCAGAGAAAGCACACAGCAGTAGAGTCTGCTGCATGTGGACCCGAGGGAAGATGAGGCAGTGGTGATGCTCTGTGGTTGTATCTTTGGTTGAGTTGAAATTTAACAGCTGTGATCCTGAATGGAGGTTGTGGTCGATGGTCTCTGAGGTTTTGCTTGAGGAGTCTTTTGTCCCAGCCTGGATCCACATAAGCCTTTCACCACTAATGTGGAGTGGATCCAATAAATCCAGTCAGGAATTAAAAGTTTATTCCAGCTGGAGAATCTTTGCTCAAAGTCGTAATTTGAACAGGGAGCTGATACAGAAGTTACAAAAAGACCTTTAGATTGAAAGACTTTGAGATAACAGGGGAACAAGGAAATGTCTTATTGTGGTCAAACACCTGGTCTAAATGCCACCAGTCACGTTGTGGTCGACGGGCAGAATGGAAAGCTGAGGCTCTGATATTAACATCGCAGGTGACTCGAATGACCTGTGAAGAAAACCAAGAACAAGGTCCCAAGAGTTTACAACAGTAACAGAGCTTTCATTGTCTCTGTGTGTTCTGGAACGGCCCATACCTGAGAGCATGTCCATCAAATCCCAGCGCTGTGATGAAGATGTTGACGAGGACGGTGAAGAAGACGAACAAGGTCGCTGCGTTGTTCATTCTGTTCAGTTTAGCGTGTTTCCTCATGTCGTTAAGATCGTACTTCACTGCTGACACAGAATCGCACAACAGCTAATGAGCTACATGAGAAGATGATGCAGAACAATAGACAAAGACAGGGAGGACAAACTTTGTACAAGAGCCAGAGAGCTTTTTATATTTAAGGAGGTTGATATTGGACTTAGGAGGGAAGTTTAGTTATGGATGACAAAAAAAGACTGCTGATTGAAAAAGACCAAACATCAAATTACATATTGTAGGTACATAATAAAATGTGAAATAATTATATAACAAATAGAGAAAATATTCAAATCACCAACGAGTGGAGTTTAGTTTGATCTGGCTACTAGAAGCAGTACAGCAAGTCTGACAAGATGGTTTTCTAAATAAGGGATCCTAGTGGTGGCCCAAAGAAAATATACCACAACACAAACACGAATGAAGAGTTAGAGCAGTGTGACATTTTGGGAAATACACTTATTTGCTTTCTTGTCCAGTGAGATGAGAAGATTGATAGCACTCTTGAAATATGAAGCTACAGCAGCCTGTTTACTTAAGTTTGTATCAAGACTGGAAACATGGACCAGCTGGCCCTGGCTCTTTCTGAAGGTAACACAAGCACTCCTGAAGCTCAATGATTATTTACGCTCTACTGGAAATGACTGCAAAAAAGAATCCCCTGTAAACCCTTAACTTCTGGCTTTGCCCTGCAGTGCAAATGAGAAAAACAAGATGTCAGTTGGTGAGATTTAAGACCTTTACACACCAGGGCATGACAAATGAACAACACAACAATGTGAAATACACGCCTGTTAATATTTGGCATCAAAACTATTCATACCGGCAGTGATGCCAATTTGGGACAGTTGCAACACTTGTTTAATACAAATTCCAATAGATTTTCACAGGAAGAGGATCAACTGGATCCTATTGACACAGAGCAGCGTCTGACAGTCGGAGGTAAAGTATTATATAGACTAAGCTACTGTGAGCTGTATTGTTGAGTTTCCTTTTTAGCAAAATGCTCTGAGTGAATCTGAGTTATCTCTGGTTAACATTCACACAGTGTATATGTCTAGGGCTTTTATTGTGAAAGGTATGAACAGAAGGAGTGGATCTGGTCTGCGCTGCCTTTGTCAAGGTTGAAAGGAGTAATAAAGTTTGCTGTCTTGGTTCAGACTCAGGTGGCAACCTGTGGGACTTAAAAGTGAAGCCAATGCTCAGGTGCCTAAAACCTGCATTCTCTCTACTGACCATCAGGGGGCGACTCCTCTGGTTTCATAAAGAAACCAGATTGTATAGAAGTCTATGAGAAAATGACACTAGTTCTCTGGTTCAGCCAAAAGGCCAAACTCCACAAACCGATACAGTCTATTTTTGGACTACGGAAGCTCCCTGTTGTTGTGCATGATAGTGTACGTAAAGACTGCTGCATGAGGGATGTAACCAGTAAGTTAACATCGCACTGGTTCCCTCGACAAAAAGCCATTGGGATTTTTTGATTATTGCAGAAAATAAGCTCTGTAGCAAATGTTTATGATACTTACATGTTTTGTTCAGCAAGACAATCATCACAAATGAACACCTCTTTATCATCAAAAGCTATACTGTTGTAAACGAAGTTCACCGCGGTCCCATGAGCGCAAGTTTACACACCGAGGCTGTGAAGGTGAACAAGTCTGTGTGATGATGATGTTATAGTCTCATTTAGACAATAGCAACTGCCTTTCTTAAAAGCTACAAAATTGACCAGACTGGTATTTACTAACATAGATGTAGAACAAGACGTTAAAATATGCGTTAACCACAGACTTTGTTTCATGCATCTTACCAAAAACTCATCAAAAACGAATTGACTTTGAGACAAGTGAACCTGAAAAAGTGCTAGCTCATTTCAGGGTTTTCAGTCCTGCAGGACTCTATTGAATGTGTCTGTTCTGCACAGTGTGATTGGTTGATGCCTTTACTCGCCGTGCCAAATCTAAGAAAGATCAACCTTGTTCAAGAATAAAAATTACAATTGATTAATTAAAATCATTATTTTCCCGCATGATATTCACGCTCTGTGTGAAAGTACTCATGACAAAAACAATCATTTTGAATTGTGCAAATGAATTGCACAAAGGAAAAAAAAACAATTTGTAAAGGCCTTTCCTGGTAGTCTGGTCTTAGCTCTGCTCACACCTGTGTCTTGGGTAATCCGAAAAACATGGGCCGCTCAAACAGACCCTTGTTAATGCCAGCACGAACTGGTCTTTGTTACCTTCCAACATCCTCGGCTCTGCCTGTCCACATGACAAAGGGACAATTTTGTCCACTTTTTAGCCAAAATCAAAGAATCTGGACTTCTGACTTCATCTTACAGCTTTTTATGCATTATGCAAACTGGTTGTTGCCAGGAGGGAAGAGCAATGCGCTAATGTTCTCTTTAGCATCTATCAAACAGGCAGACAAGGCTGGAGCTTGATTGATGAAAATCAATCAGCCTCTGATATCATAGGGGATGCAAAACGTGTGGGTGACTTGCCAATAAAGATGAGCAGCAGCCCCACTAGGACCTGCAGCGTGATGGACAGCGCCAGCAGCACGATGAGGGGGATGTAGAAGCGGTAGTGAGGCCCCACGTAGAGAACGGTCTTCAGCTGAGACGAGTTGGCCATCAGCAGGGCGACGTCCAGCATGCTCTGAGCAGCACTCTTCTTACTGGCGTAGTGATTCAAGTTGATGGGCCGATGCACCTTTCCAGAGGGGGCTGTCAGTGCCTGAGGGTTGAGAGGACATAAGGTCTAAGGTGCTATTTTACAGCCACTGCAGCCACCTTTGACTTTGAAGGATGTGATCAACACTGTTGTTCTTTCGTTCTCTCTGACAGGGCTCGGTACATGTCTCGATGGGCACATCGTGTCGGTACATGTGTCACTGCGGTTTGTTCCAAACAGAGGTGTTGTGTATTTTGGTACCATGCTCTCTGTGTACTCAGGTTGTCAGAGGAGAAGTGGGAGTGGCAGAGCAGCAGGTGAGAGAGAGAGAGAGAGAGAGAGAGAGAGAGAGAGAGACCTGAATATGAACTGATTTTTCACGTTCAGGCGTGTCAGGGAGAGTATTTGAAGTGGTGCCAGAGGACAGGTATCTGTTGTTCTGTTGGTTGCTGTAGGCTCTTTCTCAGGGATGTGCCCAGTCCTGTAGGTAGACGAGATGTCACACCCCGGTGCAACTCTCTCTGAGTCACACAGCCTTCATTCATCTCTACACACAGCTGACAGCTATGGAAAGACACACTGATTTCACAACTGACATTGCTGTAAAGAGATTACAAATGATATATCATATATGGTATTATTGTGTCTGACTGTGGCCCATTCAAAATTTAATCTTTCATGATTGTAACTGAAAGACATTAATTAATTAACAAACACACCTGTACAGTGTACAGCTATTAAAGTTACTTGTCGTTTGCATCTGAAGACAATATAATGCAACATTGTTGCCACTGTAGGGTGGTTTGTAGCCTGTCGTAGAGAGTAGAACAGAACAAAAAAGAATAGAAGAAACAATGCAATATAATAGAACAGAACAGAAAATAGAACAGAAACAGAATAGAACAGAACAGAAAATAGAACAGAAACAGAATAGAATAGAATAGAATAGAGCAGTAATAAGAGAGGGCTTGTCCGTCTGTCTTGCTTACCTCTATGTCGCCCACTTTATTCAGAGCCATGTTCTCTCCATTCGGTCTGTACGCTGTGTCCATCCTCCCTCTCTGAGCTATCAGGGGACTGTTGAGGCGCTGGATGTGAGCTCTTGTTCTACAGCCGCAGAAAAGCAGAGAAACAAGTCAGGCAACTCCTCCAGTCACAGAGACAACATGAGTGAGATCCCTCCCCCTCTGTGTCTCTCTCTTCTGTTGAACTTGTGCTTTAATTACACTTCAACTTCTCACTTGACTTCTAAATATAACAAGAAATAATGACTTATAAATAATAATAAGTTTATGTTTAAAGGGTTTCATTGCTTCCCAGAATATAATGATTCCTAATTCTGTCTCTATGTGAGACAAAAACACTTACAATCATTAAGGTTTGGAGAAGATAATGTTTAAATTGTATTCACTGTATTATGTATTGCCTGTGTATTCCTGCCAGTTCTGTCTGTAACAGTAACCCCTGTGCAGAAAGAAACTATGTTCCATTAATGAACAAACCTCTATGAGTGAAACCTTTTGGTGGAGTGTGAAGAGAGCCCAGACCAGACCCGTAAGAGGTCACACCTTCATGTATCAATCACCTTTTGCTTTGTTAAACAGACCTGTATGAGCCCATGCACATGCACTACTCAGACCCAACTAACCCCCTGAATGAATACACATCTTGGGTGCAGATAGTTTCAAGTTGCCTTGTCCTTCCTGAGAAGCTTAGCCCAACCCACACCTTCTGTTTAACTGCCAGAAATGTTCAAAATGTTTCCAACTTGATCAGCAGAGGGGATTTATTGTTTATAATACTAAAATCATTATTCAGAATTCAATAATTGTATTAACCCATAAGAACCCAAACCAATTTTTCCTTAAAGGAAAATTATAGGGGATATAAAACAGACTAAATGGACCACATGAAACACATTTCTGAAAATATCTTCTAAATACTAACCCCCAGAGCCAAATATCTGAAATGTTACATATATGTCACATTGGGCGTTTATGTATAAATGTATGTCATTTTAAAATCAATCAACTTGGCCTTTTTTTTACTTAGTAACAAAGATTTGCATTCCCACAACACATTATAACTTTCAAAATGATAACTTGTCTGGTTAGATTTAACCAAAACAATCTTTTTCAGATTTCTTTTACAAGACAAAATTGTCTTTTCCTTGGTGATCTGCAGTGCATCCTCAACACTGTATCATTCCTTCTAATCCATACTGCAAAACAATAATGAAATTACTTTGAAATAGTTCAATCTTGTTTGTTTGTGTGTTTTATTTACTGATATGTACATTTTTCTTTCATCATTTCATAATTCTTTCATAATTCATTAATAATTACTGATAATGTAATTAATGTTTGTATTTATTTAAATGTCTTTTGAATTCAACAAAAGAACATATTATAATTAAAAATAATTGAATCAGCTAAATCAATTGAGCAGCTCATTACTATTTTTCTTATTGTGACAAATATGTCACATTGGTTTTCTGACACAATTATAAGTTTAAAAGCCTGATGTGACTATATTATAATATCTGTCACAACAATATTTTCACAACTTTTTAGATATAAATGTATTTGTGAAATATGGTTAGAACAGTTTATATGTAATGTAGGTCATGTTATCAAAGCATTAGAATTAGTTAATGTGTTGAAGTTTAGCAACAAAAACAAGCTTTTTGAAATTAAGCCTAGTTCTGATGTCATTGGTACACAAATGAACTCACTGTCAACATGACCTCACCGGGATGTTCAGTATCTGTCACTTTGGGACTTCAAGAGTTAAAATCAAGGCTGAAACTGTAGAAGGACCTTTCCAGGAGATTTAAAGTGTCTGTGACAACTGTGTCACCATGGGTTAATTTGTTATTCGTTGTCTGAATTATTATTATTATTATTATATTTATTTATTGTTTATGTGTTTTATTCGTAGAAGCATCCCAGATCAGTAGGCGATAACATTATTATTGTGAAATGATAACTGTCATAAAGTCATGATGTTACACACTCCGATACAGTAGGTGGCGGCATGCACCTTAAACGTTGGATTGTAATCCGCCAATATACTGAAAGAAGAAGAAGATCAGTAGGTGGCGGTTGTAAAATTAGTTTGCCAACCACCAATAAAAAACAAAAGAAGAAGAAGAAGAAGAGTAATCGCTTGGTAAATGGCGGTTGCTTTGAAAGAAAAACAACTTGTTCGACATGTTTATGCTGCATTACAGGTAAAAAGAAGATAAAGTAATAGGGAGATATTTTAGTGAAATGACAGTGACCACTTTTCAGAAGCTTGGTTAATGTTGTTTATTCTCACAAGTACTGCTACGCACATTTAAGGCTGCTAGTCACCCGTCGGTTAATAGCACTCCATACGGTACTGACGGTACGTGATACGTTCAACACTTCCGGCGGTACCAGCAGCGGGCTTTATATCCGAGGCTCTTTCAAACTTCTGATTCAGTGACTCCGTGGCTGGAATTTATTTTCCAAAATAAGAAAATACATTGATGCTTATTGCTCACGTTGAGGAAGTGGTGGATGCATTTGTTGTTTCCTTGATAAGATTTTGAAATAATAATATATAAGAATATGATGTCTGCAATTAATACACAAAATAGTTAAATAATTAGATTCATTGTTTATATTTGTACAAATATTTTTGAGTGTAATGAATGATACATCCCAAACATTCAGCAGTCTAAATGAATGGCTCTTAATAATATATACATTGAATGAGGTAGGGTTGGACATGAAGCCCTGGCAGATCACTGTTGTTACTGTGCCTTGCTGTGGATATTGGTGAAAGCTTATGGAGAATATTGAATGTCCTGTCTGTGTGGAGGCTGCGTCCTGTCCCTTGGTGGAAGGTCTGTACCTGCAGGAAGCCGACAGCATGCTGCAGCTGCTGTGTGCTCCCTCTCAGCACCGCACCGACATACTGGCCTGGATCTGCAGCAGGTCTGATAACGTACACAGAACATGGACTCTCTTCTCACCTATGAAAGATGATGTCAAAGTGAATCCCTTTGCCTCTACCTGTCACTTTACAGTATCAACCCAAACTTTGCCAATTCCAAGACGATAGCGGTGAGATCCAGCGGTCCAGATGTTTTGATTAAAGGTAACATTGTTGTGTGTCAAAGGCTCATTTTTCTACACAGTACACGTTTAACGCTCTTGCATGTCTATTGATGGATACTTGGACTCTTACACTGCTCTGGTCTGTTCTGTTCTGGTACAAACAGAGATGGCTGTGCTTGGACAGGAGCTGATGCTGTGCAAAGCAGATGACCTGGACCTGATCAGGGTGAGAGGACGCATCGAGCAAGTGTAGATGTAACTGATTTTTATTTATATATTAGTGCTGGGCAAGTTAACGCATTAACGCATTAATTAATTAACGCTGACAATTATTTTATCGCGTGTTAACGCATTTTTAAATTTTTTTTATTTTGAAAGTCCGTTGCTCACTGGCAGCGGTGGAGGAAGTCTTCAGCAGACTATGTTGGATGCAGCGTGTGGGAGAAGTATAGAGAAACAAAAGCAAGACAAGCTAACAAATACTAGAGAGAAGTGGATACAAACTGCAGCCGATTAGTATTGTGGAAGATGTTGGTCTGAGGAACGTTCTCAAGGTGCGTTCGCGTCGCGTTTGGTGTCAACGCACCTTTAGGATCGCAACGAATGGCGTCACTTATGAGCCTCAAGACGCACCGTCACAAGAAGAATACACGAGTTGTATGAACAGGAGAGGACTACAAAAGCGACGGCGTTACAACGTGCACCAGCTGTTGCTCTCACTGGAGACGACTGGACATCGCTGGCTAACCATCATCACCTCGGAGTTACAGCATTATATTGATGAACAGTAGAGCTGCATTCACATGCTCTGACTGTCATGAAGACACAAGACACACATTTAGATGAAACGTGCTGAAACATTTTATTCCTGTTGCACAGGAGTGGAACGTTTCACATAAAGTCAGCACACTGAGCACAGATAGTGAAGTGATAGAACTGCTACTGTGTAAAGGGAATACTGCTGTTAAAAATAACCAATATATATATCCTTCCAATATTTAATGGCTTTCTAATGGCAGATTATGTACTCATGTTGCCACATGTTATTCAGAAATGAGTTCAGACATAAATGCGTAAAGGATACACTGATCGTACGATCGGCTCCAGTGCCAGACTGATAGAAGTGCTTGTGTAACGTTTTTTCTTTTAATTAAGGACAATGT